GCCATTTAGAAATCGGAAAATAGCAACGATGCTCCATTAATTCTCACAGATTAAAAAAAATCAGGAAACCAAGTCAGAGGGAAGCACAACAGTGAAGCACAGTGGCAAATTCTTTTGAAATGTCAAATTGGTTTTGATTCTTTGGTAGTTTATTGTACAATCCATTTTGTTTAAAAGCACATTTACGTAAGACCTGTTATTTCTGTCTGATTTTTATCAGACAGATGATTAATGGCACTTTGCAATCAGAATGTTTAATTTGCAGCAATGTTCCATTTGTTTGTTTCACGCTGATGGAAAAAAAATAGGAAGCTTAATTACCTTTTGCAATGTCCTTGTTTAGAATGTTGAATTAATATCTCAATGCAGTGAATTAAGTTTTTTCTTTGTTACTTTTATTGTCTCTTTATTGTGATGATGAAAAAAATTTAAATCATTTCTGAAAAAGTCATGATCAAAAATTCTTTGATGAAAGGTAGACTTCATTTTTCATGGTTAAAAAACATTAAACTTCTCTTTTGAAAAAAATTTCTTTGTTGTAATTCATTTTATTTAACTAGTAGTATTATAATTATTTAAAGACATGATTTCCAAAGAGTTATAAGAACAGTGGTGGTGGAATTTTTTTGGAGTTAGTAGAAACACAGCGTCATTTTCCTTGAGTGCAAATTATCTGTAAGATGCTCCATGCAGGGTTATAGTATGTGACTAAAGAATAAGGAGCTTCTCGTCTGCCTTCAGGGCAGGAAATGAACCAAGATCAATCATATATCGTGCCATTAAATTTGGTCAAAATTGGGTTACTCAGTTTGGTCATTACTGTGAATGGCGGTTTGTCTGTGAGCTTCTTTTGCGATAGGGATTAATTTCTGAATTCTTTGTAATGTAGCTTAATATACCTGACAGAAAATCTGGCCTAAAGTAATAAAGTGAAGTGACTGTTTGAGATTTTTTTTTTTTTTTTTTTTTTTATTATTTTTTTTTTTTGTCATTGGAGAGATCAGTTCAGCTAGAACTAACCAACAAATTAACTTTGAAAATTTTAATTTCTATTGTTTTAATTCATAATTTCTGAATCTGCAGCATTAAAGAAAAATTATTTACAGAATCATTGGGTTCACCATATAACATTTGAAGGTCTAAGTCAATTGATAGCTACAATAGTTAATTCCTTTTCCTTGAGGAATCTTTCCTACATAAATGTGGCACTGCATATTTGTATTTACTTAGTACTGAATAATCACCTTCATAACTGAACTTGACAGTAATTTGGTTTTGGAAACAGGGATCATCTTTTTTAGAATCATTGAGTATTTTCCCATCATGATAACCTTTAAGGGGCTCCTGCTTTGAGAACTTATCTGTCCCAATTACAAACATTACACAGTTAAAAGATGATTTCCACGAAATACAATGCCCAATTTTCGGTTATCTATTTAACATCTTTTGGCATTTGTGTTAATCTGTTTCAGCTGCAGTGGGATGATTCTGCGACTCAAAGATAAATGACTTGCCTATAATAGCAATCCCTCATTTACATCTTTCAATCAAAAACATGGGGTGCCCCGTATCCTCAGGAGACATTACTAACAAAAGAGAATGATGATGAGTATTGACCTGAAGTTGCATTCAAGTTGTAGATAGGTCAGCCCTTCTCTGCAACTCTTCACACATATGTAAGGCCTTTTCACATTGAGCAGTATATCTTACTAGTAAGTTTAAGGCTTCATTCACATGCAATGTCTATTTTCTAAATTCTATTTTCTATTCGCGGTATGTCTTATGATCACAGTCTGTGCCCTGAATATCCCGAGGCATAATTACTGGCAGCGCGAGCCAGTTACTATAAGTTACTATAAGTAACTGGCTCGCGCTGCCAGTAATTACGCCGCGGGATATTCAGGGCACAGACCGTGATCATAAGATAGCGCGAATAGAAAATAGATTTTTAGAAAATAGACATTCCATGTGAACGAAGCCTTATTTTAGCTGTACTAGTATGTTTTGATTGACAACTCTTATATGGAAAAAAGTCACCTAAACTGGTCCTTACATTTTAGTTGAGTAAATGAAAACTATGCAATGGGTGATTTATTCTATTTCACATGCAGCTGTTTGTGGCATAGGCTGCCCATCATGTGAAGCAACTTTTTACTAGTCTAAGAATACTAGTAAGTAATACAGTGTAGCCATTTTTCTGCGTGCTTGATTGATTATTATTCTTTCATGACTGCATATAAAGAAATTTTAGTAACCATTATTTATTTATTTATTTGTTTATGTATTTATTTATTTACTGTAGTGTAAATGATACCAAAATATCACATTTGTCAGTTGCATATATGTTATCAATTTTCAGTTTTCAGTTATATTGAGTGCTATCCAGGTTTTATAACCAGTCAGAGATAGGTTTGTAAAATATACCCGCTTATTAAGCAATATTCATTGTGTCACTAGTCACTGAGTGCATCTTATTACTGCAGGTTGAACCAGTATAGTGTGTTAAACTGTATTTATCACATAAAATACTAGGCAGAATTTTTTTTTTTGCATTAGTTGCAGCATTCAGCAATTATAAGTATTGCGGTGCATGAACAACTTAACTAATACAGTTGAACATCCCAGTGTAAGCTATCACCATTTCCTGAATGATCACTGTTTAAGGCTGCGTTCACATGAAAAGTCTATTTTCTAAAAATCTATTTGCGGTATCTTGTGATCACGGTCTGTGCCCTGAAAACTACACGGCGTAATGATGGGCAGCATGAGCCCGTTATTTCCAAAGCTGTAATTAATTCTCAGCGCTGCCAGTAATTACGCCACGGGGTATTCAGGGCACAGACCGTGATCACAAGATACCGCAAATAGATTTTTAGAAAATAGATTTTTCATGTGAACACAGCCTAACAACCCTACTACCACCTTTATTACATCTCCTCTTCTTAAAATTATCAATATTTATCGTTAACATTTTTTTTATTCTCCATAATTATTATTTATCTTGTAGTTAGTTCTATTATAATTGTTTTGTAAAGGTGAGCTTATAATGCCAATAGCCAATTACCACCTTTATATGTATTATATATGTATTATATATTATTAAATATATTTCTTGCATCAATAAATATGATGGAAAGGAAACACCCTGGGATACAAAGGACAATAAGGTCTGTATATGTACATGTACTAGTACATTTTCCGTTACCATTCTTTGCATTTCCAGTGCATTCTGAAACTGAGGGTGTTATTCAAAGACCCCATTCCCAGAGATTAGATCAATCCAACTAGATCGACGTAACTCCCTGGGGGTTCACGCGAAATAGCTGTCGGCCGAGTGGGCAAGAAAGTTAATTACCCCCTTACAGCTTGTAGCAGGCGGGACGGACATTTAAGCCGGATTATCTGACAGTAATCTAGTGAGACTCCCCACGGGGATAGATCAATCTAGAATCTATGGGAATGCACCCAAAGTCTCACTATTGAGTGGGCTTTTGATTTCAAGGATGTGGTCTGTTGAACATAGTGCAGGATTACCAGCATTACAGAACTCGGTCAATAATTATAGATTGTTAATAAGCTCATGTTTTTGATGATAACATAACAACAAATGAAAACATAGTCAGAAATAAATGGAGCAGTTTGTGTTTTGTATCGTGTATGTGTGCCGTTTCTAATATTGGAGAATCTGATCAGTGACTGATAACTGAAATTAGTTTCCACAGATCTTTGGCCTGGGCATGGTAGCTTCAAACTCTGCCCCTGACTGAATTACCTTGATTCTACAGTAAAAACTTGAAAATTTCATTGAAAGACAATTTTTTGCCGACATACGCAGTCTCAATTTCATGTAGCAGGGGCGGATTTAGGCCGTCTTCTGGGTCTTCTGGAAGACAGTCAGATTTTCAGGTTTACATTGATGGGTATCAAATTTTTTCTGTTGGAAGATGGTCAGAAATGGAGGATGGATCATCAAAGATAATTTAGAAGACTGTCAGAAAATATCTCTGGATCCGCCCCTGTGTAGGTCCGCCATATTTAGGTCTTATCCTTGCTAAACCTCAGCTATTCTCGATGTGAATGTTCTCATTAGTGTCACCCAAACAGAGCCTTCATCTGAACTGGACAAGGCCAATTTTTTTTTAATAAGGTTACAATTTTTTGTATTAATAAAATTATGGTGTCAGGAAGTAAAATTCTTAGGATGTTAGTCAAGGCTATCAACATGCTGTTTAACTCTATGTAGAACTACTTATAAGGCCTTTGTGAATTAGATTTAAATGCCAAAGTTCAATCCTTTCCAGTTCTAAACCACCTAAAATGTCATGTAAGCATGCTCTGATATTTAATTGTCTGAATGATGTATGACAGGCTTAATGAAACAATAAAGGGATTATCAGTTATTAACTGTGGAATTGGAATATATTGTGAGGGTTATTGATAACTTTGAGCAAACAATATCATTTTCGTGTTTGAAGAACACAGGAAGGATCATAGTGTTTTGGAGTAGGGAGAGACACTTGAAATCATCAATTATTGTTTGTCCAATTGACTGTTTCAATGGCACATGCAGTACTGATATACTTATTCTGCTATAAATTGCATTTTTGTTGGACATATCAAGTAGAGAACAATGTAAGGTGTGAAATAATTTATGTGTACATCTTTGAAGACACGTAACCAAAGCAAGTCTAGCCAAACAAGTTCAGTTGAGTACAGCATTGTTCATGATGTGTTTGATAAACACATACACAGCTATTGTACTTGTTTACATATAATATGCTTCTAAAGACAGATAAATTATCAAGTTCACCAAAAAAATAAGCAGTTTGCAAGCACATGCATGTTGTGGAGAGAGAGAGAGCAAATGGAGATGGAATTTATACTAAAGGAGGAGGAGAGAGAGAGCAGGTCTTCATAAACCATATAAGGATGACATTTCAGTTAACAGTTTTAACTATTTGAAACTATTTTTAAGTGGAAAATTGTTTGTATCTTTCCAGGCGTAGATAGCCGTATTAAGTTCAGCCTCCAGCCCCTCCCTGGTGATGACGCCTATCAGCAGTGGTTAGATGCCATGAAAGCCGTGGTGCGCCTGCCTATGGGGATACCCAAGGAGTTCAGGAGAAAGGTTTGTAACTTCCAAAGCTGACACTGAAAAGAACTAAGACCAGTCTTAAAGTGAAGACCATTTGATCTTCTTTCACTAAGCTTTGATCTAAGCTAGGGTAATCAGCAGTAGTCCACCTACATGACACCGTATTTAATTTTGTTTTCATATTGAAAATATTTCATCAAATAACTTTTTTAAATCTAAAGCCCTTCTCACTTCTGTGATGTTTAATGTCAACTTTTTACAGTGCTAGTCATTTTCTTCAAAAGCAGCACAGTTTTACCACATGCATATCACTTATTTTGCATTTAAAACAATTTTCAGCTCTGAACCCTCTTTTAATTTATTTCTAAACATATATCATGATCAGATTTTCAACCATGTTTGCAGTCACAGCATTAATCAAAATAAATTTAGATGAGACTACTTGACCTTATGACCATGGATCCTTATAAAACAGGGGACATATTTATGCTATTCTTTTTTGCATGCTACTATGCTTCCATTGAACCTTACAAATAAGTTTTTATTGACTAACAGTAAATACCATGACTAGATAACCAACCAAGCATACACTTAAAATTTTATATGTTAATTTTATCATTAAGGTTAACCTTTAAGTTGAACCTCTCTGCGCTAATTGTAGGTGTGGCTGAGTCTGGCAGACAATCACATCAAGAACCTCAGTGTAGACTGGGAGAAGACACTGAAAGTGACCTTCAATGAGAAGAGCAACCCTGATGATAACAAGTTGGGACTGCAGATTGTAAAGGTACAGTATCGTGTGCCGTGGTGGCTACTCTGAATTCAGGGTGCTGACAGTCAGCAAGAACAGCCACCCTGATGATAATAAGCTGGTAATGTAGATTGTGATGAATTTTTTGTAGTTTTTGTCAACAAGAGGGTATAGTTGAATGTGATATTCATGGTGAAGTGCATGTATTACATGATAAAAATGAGCACAGGATGCAAACTATGGTTTCATGATTGTATGATGCAAAATGCAAGGGGAATGTGGATTTTTTTTTTTTCAATTTCTCAATCTTCATTTTTTGGAAAATGTTGAAAGATATCAGTCTTGTGGAATAACTTTCAATTATGAATTTAGCTACATAAATCCAAGAAATATGAAACATCCGGTAACGGTTGCTCTCCAGAGCTATTATATATTTATAATAATATCTTTCCCACAAAAATGAAACTTCAACTTGTAATTCAGAACTTTGTACATGTGTATCTTTATTTTCGTTTTTTAAAGAATAAAAAAAATGCATGGACAATTTCAGCTTAATGTCAAGTGATTTTTCAGAAAATTAGTTTGTTTGCCAAAAGTTTACTTTAGTTCTAGGAATTTCAGCAAAACATGCTTGGGCCTACATTTCTATTTTATTTGATTCCGAGAAACCAAATCAATTTCCTAGTTAGTTGAAATTTCCTTTTAATGCTGACACAGGCCTTAATGGAGTCTGGACGGCTTCATAATTGAAGCCAATAGTGGATTTTATGGTATCTGTGTATCTAAAAAGGTCAGAGTAATTACCATTCTTGGTCAACTAAGGGTTACGGCAATGATTGTATTTCCTTGCTGTTTGCTTTTAAATTTGTGCAGCATTGTGGTTAATGGTTCATTGATCAGATAATCTCTCTCAAAATTAGAAATCACATTTATGGTTTCATTGTAGAGATCACAAACTGAATACTGGAAATAGCTTTTTGAAAAATGACATTCGGAAGGTACAGCATCGACTTTCACGTAAGATTTGAGGAATGTATATTTTAAAAAAAGAATTTCTTAGAGATTGTTGATCAAAATGTGCTGTTGACAAAAATGAACTTGTAATATGCATTAATGGAATATTACACATCACCTTGCAGCTGACTATTTTCCATATTGTTCTGCCTAGCCATCTTTATAAATTAATGTGTGAACACTTATATTCTGTATTGATATGATATTTGCAATGCCAGGTTGAAAAAAGAAAACTAAAGTGATACAGTTAACATAGCCTGGCATATTACAATCTGCCATTTCTACCACTGACCTAGTACCAAACATGTAAACTTGATTGAGTATAAAATTAATATGTAAATTTGTCCACAAATTGACCACAATGTCTGCTTTGAATCAGTAGATTTCTTAGACGCTAGTGACCTGAGAGACCACTATCCTAAACCTGCTAATACCAGTACATACCAAGAGGCAGTATTACCTTTCTGTATCCTCTAATTAACAAAATTATCCCACATATTTCAGGATCTCCACAGGACAGGCTGGTGGTGCATACCCAGGAATTAGTATAACCTCTCTAGTTTTCTAGTTATCCATGTTATCCTATATATTTCAGGATCTCCACAGGACAGGCTGGTGGTGCATACCCAGGAATTAGTATAACCTCTCTAGTTTTCTAGTTATCCATGTTATCCTATATATTTCAGGATCTCCACAGGACAGGCTGGTGGTGCATACCCAGGAATTAGTATAACCTCTCTAGTTTTCTAGTTATCCATGTTATCCTATATATTTCAGGATCTCCACAGGACAGGCTGGTGGTGCATACCCAGGAATTAGTATAACCTCTCTAGTTTTCTAGTTATCCATATTATCCCATATATTTCAGGATCTCCACAGGACAGGCTGCAGTGGTTTTAGTGGCCAGGATAATGAGCAGGACAGGGCTGTGTTGAAAAGAGTGCTCCTGGCCTATGCAAGGTGGAACAAAACTGTTGGCTACTGCCAGGGATTCAATGTCATTGCTGCCTTGATATTGAATGTTATGGAAAGAAAAGAAGGGGATACTTTGAAGGTAAGCTTCACAAAGAGGAAATGCCATACACTTGTTCGTTTGTCATAACCTTACAGGCACAGTGGCATAAGATTTTGCTTATAGACATAACATACTCTGTGCAAAATTTATATCCTTTGTCAGATATTTGAATCAGATCTTAATTTTCAGTACTGAGGTAGAATAGTTTTTGTGAGACTGTGGGATTGCAATGTCAGGCTGCATATGGAAGTTGAGTGTGTTTTGATATCACAACTCATCTGATTTGGATGATGTTTGCTTTTTGCCTCGTGCATCCGAAAAACCATCTGTAATCAATATTACTGAATACACAATGCACTGCACATTCAGTACTTTAGTTAAGTACAGAATCATGTTGTTAAAATATGCCAGTCACAAAATGAAAATTTTTCTTATTTGTTTTAGGTGATGATCTATTTGATAGACCACGTTCTTCCAACAAGTTACTTTGCCAACAACCTTCGTTCCTTGTCCGTGGACATGGCGGTGTTTCGCGACCTTTTACGCATGAAACTCCCTGGCCTGTCGCGCCACTTGGACTATCTACAAGCTGCTGCCAAAGACTGCACTGGTAAGGAGACATATGGGATTTTACGACAAACTCCCGAATTGCAGAACTATGCCTCCCTATCTTTCCCCATGCCCCAACAAATGCATTTTCAAATTAAAGCAAAAATTCTGTTTAAGTTGCTCTGCTTGTTTTTTGGATCTGAGTGAATTCAAATCAAGCTAATGTATTAATGTAGTGCCAGAAAGATTCCATTTTTTTATAAATGCATCATGATCAGGTCTTTAAACGCCCTTCCATTATCAACCCCTATGTGTTCCTCCCATCTCTTCATAACATTTATGGTGGCTGTTTGTTGGCATGCAGTGTTGATGGGTGATACATGTACTGATACATGAGCAGAGTGTGACATTAATGACAAAGTCCACCACTATGACACTGACAAGAACACCCAGATTTGAATTGATTTTCACAAGTTGACTTGTCATTTTTTGGTATACTTACCTTCGAATGTCAGTTGTTGCATCTGACTAACAATTCATATGACAAAATATAAATCTGATGAAAAAAAAGACTTAACTACTTGATCCATTGCATGTCTTTTCACATTGGGTAGCACTGCTGAAGGCAGATCACCTCAACTGTACGCAATTTGCGACTCATAGCATATCTACTCCAATATTTCTTCATGAAAAGAATGGAGTACATGAGAAATATCCAAAGGTGGCAACCCTGGGGACATGTATCTCACTAGGGTCTTTGATTATTCTTTGTGTTCTGTTCATTCCTACTTTAAGATTGTCTGCTATCAATTTAGCAGTTTTGTCCCCCATGGCCTTGGCTTTCTTCAAGACTGGGTACAACTCTTTGCATCATCACCCGATTTCACGTGGAAATTGTTCTGAAACACCCTAGTGGAGGCAGACTGAATTTTTCTTGTCTATAAACCTGTACATGCTTTTCATCACAAGTATTTTACCTATTTATAAGTTGGATTTAGTGATAATGGGTCTTATTTTTCTCCCTTTCTGTGGGCATGTCAATTTGTTTTTCCTCAATATTGTAAAATGAGGAGATTGGCTCTCATGCTGCCTGATTCCATCTCTAACAAGTCCTCATCTACAACTTTATGGTGCTCAGTGTTAATATTTCATATGTTTTCAATAGCTTTAATTCTCTCTTTCAATTGTTCATTCTCCTTCTGCAATACATCCACTTCATTTAGTGTGAAAGTTAAAATTAAGATTCCTGATTTTATATTCATTTGTTTGTGGTGGATACTTCGATTTGCTTCGGACATGACCAAAAATGTTATCAAACGACATGGGGCATTTATCTATACTAGCTATCATAGTTTGGAATTTTCTCATACCTTCTATAGAAAGTGAGGTTTTATCTGGACTGATATCGCCCAAATGTTCACTTGCACTTGTGCCGTCCTCCTCAAGGCATGGTGACCTGACAAGCCTCACTTTCTTGGCAGTGTCATAATTGTTTCCTGGAAAAGGATTAGATTCATGCCTTTGTTTCTTGCCTGATTGCAGATCAGGAGTTTTCCTTGTTCTCTCATCATTTTGCTTTTTCTTTGCCAGCTTGCTTCTGATTGTGAACATTGTGTATTGCTTCTTTGTACTATTAGTTGCATGATGTTGCCACAACCCTTATTATTATATCTCATAGTTTTCATTACCTTTGATGACTTTTTTGCCAGAGTTATGAAATACTGGGGTAAGCCTTTCTGATCTCATGCATGCGCCCTTTTCCACACTCAATCAATATGGTATTTCTTTTTGTGAGAAAAAAAGATGCATTGACTGTGGAAATGTTTACACTTAGATGATTCTCTGCGGGGAATAAGAAATAATCCCCTTGCAGTTCTATGATTTAGTAGTTGATTGTATGGGAAATATGCTATGATGAGGTTTGAAATTTAGAACAACAACATTATTGAATACATATGGGTGGGCACGATCCAAATTAGCTTAGTAATGGCATGTATACTTCTTCCTTGTAATTGATCTCAGAAGTGAAAGATAAGGATTATTGTTTTATTTGTCTGAAATGACAAAATTATTGTTCTAACTTTTATGTTATGCTTTAGTTAGAATGACAGAAAAAAATTGTATGATGAAAGGATTACCAAGCTAGAAGAAATAAGTGTTCTTTATTTATTTTTTTTTTAATTTAATTTTCTTTTATTTATAAATTTTCCCAAGCATTGTGTTATGGCCCAAACATGTCGAGTTTTAATGACTAAGTTACAGAGAGAAGATAGTTGGATACATTGGTGTGAAATTTGATGGTAAAGATTGTTGTATCATTAGATTAACTTGTTTACAAAATCACTGATTCCAGTGTTTAAGTGAAGCATTCTGTAACTGCCTTGTAACAATTATCCGGAGTTTCAAACCCTTCAGAATCAGTTCTCTATGTCAGCAAGCACTTATACAATGATAAAGTCTAAACTGGTCTTTGAATCTGATGGATGTTCTTTGTTCTTTGAAAAAGAAAACTATTGTGTTGACATTAGTTGTGTGTTCACAGTTAGACATTTTAAAGAATGATCATTTCCATTCAGAACTTATAAAAAAAGAAAAGGTGCCATGAGATTGACTTCCAAACAGATATTTTTTGTCAGATATGTTAGATGATTACAAAAGAAATTGATAAGGTAAACTCCTACACAAACCGCAAAAAGGTAAACCACAGGCAAAATGAATCATTTTTGTTCAGATTTTTGACATTTGCAAATGGAGTTGGTTAACCACAGTTTTGTCCTTGGAGAGAAAGGGTGTCACAAAACTGTGGTATTTATTGGCTATTTGATGTAAAAAGAAAATTTAAAAACCCAGTTGGTGTAGGCATGATAATTTTTTTCAGTACTTCACTGTGGACAACTTTTTATCCAGAGTTATACAAGATTATTTACTCTAAAATAAGACTTTATAACACCACTTTTGTTTATTTTGATGTATTAATTTGAATTTCACTTATTTTAATAATTTGCCAAGAAACATAAATATCCTGATTTTACAAAATTTGTCTCAGACATGAAATAAAGCTAGAGTGAGCTCCACTATATCAAAGAAACAGCTAAGTATGGAATAATATCTTTCTTTCATATTCTCTCCATAAGATAATTCTCTAGGTAGATGTTTGAAACTGTGCTCAGACAACAAAATCAATATACCCTTGCAGGTGCTAATTACGAGCCCCCACTGACCAATGTGTTCACCATGCAGTGGTTTCTCACCCTGTTTGCCACCTGCCTGCCCAAGACCACGGTCCTCAGGGTGTGGGACAGCGTGTTACTGGAGGGGTCCGAGGTGTTGCTGAGGACAGGACTGGGGATATGGGCTAAACTGGCTAAGTAAGTAATTGTATTAATAGCAGTCTTTGTACAGACCTTGAAAAAATTTTCTTTGAGGTCCAATTTGACATTCTAATGGAAATTGACCCAAAATCAAATAAGGTCCTATGGGAGATATGTCCTAGATATGAATCCTATAGGGCATCCAGTAGAATTCTTATAGAGTCCCATGGAGTCCTATAGGATGTCCTATAGGAAATTTCGTCTATTAGGGGAAAAGTTGATTTGAAGTTTCAGATGAAGTTTAAGTCAGCAACAGTTAAACAAAATATCAAGCCTGTTTGATAATATTGAAGTGAAAAATTGACTTTTTGCAAATTTTTAATGTGTAAATTTACTCTTAAATATAAAAACATTTGGTTAGATACTTTAAAGAGATTAAATTATATATAACATTTAAATGTTCATAGCATTTTGATATTTATATTTATTTAATTAACAGGCGAATCATGACAGTTCAAAGTGCTGATGAGTTTTACCAGATGATGGCATCTCTGACTTCTGAAATGCTGGACACAGATCTCATAGATCCTGACTCCTTGATAAAGGTAAGTTATAACACAGTCAATAGATGTCTCCACTGGTTCATCTTCCACCAGGAGCCTCCACCAGTCGTACCAAATGATAGCAAAGATCAAAGACACAATAGAAATTATACCATTGGATATATATACTTGCTTTCTCTTGACCTTTTTAAAATTATGTTTACTTATAATTCTGAGTAGGTTTTAAAATAAACAAGTTGAACTTCAAATTCTGATTTTTGAATAAGATCCTTAATGAGGCCATGACACATGCATGTATTTGATAGATTATAAGGGTGACTGGAATTTGTATGCAAACATAATGAAGAATGATTAATTCCAATTTCTAAGAAATAACATGTGGGACTCTGAAAAGCATTATTCTGACTTCTTTTTTCTTTGAATTTCAATTAATATTGACACCACATGGCAATTACAAAAAGATATTTAGTTTTTATGAGCCAGTGGCAGTAGCATGATATGGTGTGCTGTGAAATTTCATTGGATCTTAGTGGATAAATATTTTGCACAAACATCTGAAATGTAATTTTAATCTGCCTGACACATAATTTAATTATTACTGATTTCAGCTAGGTCATGTCATTTTTATCAGAAATTGAAAAGAATTAGCAGGAAAATAAGTGGACTTTAATGATCATGTATTTTTGTAATACAGCACTAATTTGGTTCTTAACATGATTTACAATTACAGGCATCCAGAGAAAAAATGTTACAGGCATCCAGATAAAAAAAAAGTCTTACAAACCTTATCTGAGCAATTAAATTTGAAAGGGCAAAGCCTTGAGGCCATATGGATAGTTATGTGACCCCCCCCCCCCTCTCCTTTTCAAAAGCCAAAATGGCATGCTATCCTCCAGCTCATACATATTGCACAGGAGAATGTCTGCACTCACAAATATAAAATATTTATACCACATTGCGCAAAAGGTAAACCACACTTTTCAACTGGCTGCAGTTGAAGGTAAAATGCAACGAGACCTACATANTTTATTGGCTATTAGATGTAAAAAGAAAATTTAAAAATCCAGTTGGTGTAGGTATGATAATTTTGTCAGTACTTCACTGCGGGCAACTTTTTATCCAGAGTTATACAAGATTATTTACATTAAAATAAGACTTTATAACACCACTTTGTTTATTTTGATGTATTAATTTGAATTTCACTTATTTTAATAATTTGCCAAGAAACACAAATATCCTGATATTACAAAATTTGTCTCAGACATGAAATAAAGCTAGTGTGAGCCCCACTATATCAAAGAAACATCTAAGTATGGAATAAGATATTTCTTTCATATTCTCTCCATAAGATAATTCTCTAGGTAGATGTTTGAAACTGTGCTCAGACAACAAAATCAATATACCCTTGCAGGTGCTAATTACGAGCCCCCACTGACCAACGTGTTCACCATGCAGTGGTTTCTCACCCTGTTTGCCACCTGCCTGCCCAAGACCACGGTCCTCAGGGTGTGGGACAGCGTGTTATTGGAGGGGTCCGAGGTGTTGCTGAGGACTGGACTGGGGATATGGGCTAAACTGGCTAAGTAAGTAATTACATTAAGTCTTTGTATAGACCTAGCAGACAGTCCAGTGGGGCATCCTATAGGACATTGACCCAAAATCCAATAGGTCCTATGAGAGATATGTCCTAGATATTAATCCTATAGGACATTCAGTAGAATTCTTATAGAGTCCCATGGAGTCCTATAGGATGTCCTATAAATTTAAATTTGTAAATTTACTCTTAAATATAAAAACATTTGGTTAGATACTTTAAAGAGGTTAAATTATATATAACATTTAAATGTTAATAGCATTTTGATATTTATATTTATTCAATTAACAGACGAATTATGACAGTTCAAAGTGCTGATGAGTTTTACCAGATGATGGCATCTCTGACTTCTGAAATGCTGGACACAGATCTCATAGATCCTGACTCCTTGATAAAGGTAAGTTATAACACAGTCAATAGATGTCTCCACTGGTTCATCTTCCACCAGGAGCCTCCACCAGTCGTACCAAATGATAGCAAAGATCAAAGACACACTAGAAATTATGCCATTGGATATATATACTTGCTTTCTCTTGACCTTTTTAAAATTATGTTTACTTATAATTCCAAGTAGATTTAAAAATAAACAAGTTGAACTTCAAATTCTGATTTTTGAATAAGATCCTTAATGAGGCCATGACACGTATGTATTATGATAGAGTATAAGGGTGACTGGAATTTGTATGCAAACATAATGAAGAATGATTAATTCCAATTTCTAAGAAATAACATGTGGGACTCTGAAAAGCTGTATTCTGGCTTCTTTTTTCTTTGAATTTCAATTAATATTGACACCACATGGCAATTACAAAAGATATTTAGTTTTTATGAGCCAGTGGCAGTAGCATGATATGGTGTGCTGTGAAATTTCATTGGATCTTAGTGGATAAATATTTTGCACAAACATCTGAAATGTAATTTTAATCTGCCTGACACATAATTTAATTATTACTGATTTCAGCTAGGTCATGTCATTTTTATCAGAAATTGAAAAGAATTAGCAGGAAAATAAGTGGACTTTAATGATCATGTATTTTGGTGATACGGCACTAATTAGGGTCTTGACATGATTTACAATTACAGGCATCCAGAGAAAAAATGTTACAGGCATCCAGATAAAAAAAAATGTCTTACAAACCTTATCTGAGCAATTAAATTTGAAAGGGCAAAGCCTTGAGGCCATATGGATAGTTATGTGACCCCCCCCTCTCCTTTTCAAAAGCCAAAATGGCATGCTATCCTCCAGCTCATACATATTGCACAGGAGAATGTCTGCACTCACAAATATAAAATATTTATACCACATTGCGCAAAAGGTAAACCACACTTTTCAACTGGCTGCAGTTGAAGGTAAAATGCTACGAGACCTACATTGATATTTTATTCATGATATTAATATTTCAGAAAATATATGCCATGGCGCCCTTTCCACTTCCACGTCTCACTGAGCTGAGAGAGAAGTACGAGTTTAATATAACGCCTTTCCAAGCTGCGATGAATGCAGGACGTCTGGGTGCAAAGACACGGAGCTCTGCCCACATATTCAGCGATGACGATGAAATTGAGGAGGAGGATTTTGAGAATATAAATTGCTTCTCTGCCTTTGGGCTATTTAATCCTCAAGGGTCTCCTAGTAAAGGTAAAGTTTGTATGTCAAATATGATAGTGAAGACTGGTTGTTATTAGCCAATACACATTGTTCTCAAAATGGGATTGGTTACTGGAAGATCAAGTTTGAAATTCTAGATAATATCTGTGAAATAGGTTTTTCATTGTCACTGGTATAAAAGTGATAAAAAAGCAAACAGTTTTAGAAGAAGAGATGATTAAGGGTCAAAGAAAAAAACAGGTTTGGTCTCATAAGGAATGATTTTTTTCCATGATTTTGTAAAATGTTCAGTTGTTTTGTCATCTTTTGTTGAGCATAAATAAATTGTTTAATGATAATATCTCCACTTATATCAGCCAAGAGTTTCTGACCAAGTAGTTACTAAGTAATCAGTCTAGGTAGTGAATCTTTTCTGTTCAGGGTCACCAAGTGCTGCCTGTTTTTAAGAAAGATAACTGGCTACATTACAATGTGTGAATAAATCATGCATTTTACATCATATGACACATACAGATTCTTGCTAGATATGCTTAGTGTAATGCACTTGAAGTCGATAATATGTGAAATGTGTGTATTTGTGAATCATTCAGAGATATGGAATATATCAAGACACCTTTATGTTTCTCAGCATATGTTTATACTTTTTTGTTACTAAATGCAAAAAGACTAACCTTCTTTGTTGGAAATGTTTGTTCGCTTACATGTAGGATCAAATATATCCACATGTATTGAGAGTGTTTAACTTGAAATTTAAGTCATTTTATGTGGTGGATTTTATTTCCTGTTTCAAAAATAATTGCCACTTCATCTCATTGTTCATCTCTTTTCAAAATTACATTTTGCCTATGAATGACATTATGTTGAACTTGACCTTTCATCAGGTGACCTTGGAGTGACCCCGAGTTTGACCTTTGACATCAGCAGTGTCGGACCAGGAGCATTTGGTGCCAACCCAGAGAATGCCTCTATGCAGGTGAAGAACACTGCCTACACAGAGAGAATGACAACAGACCTTGGTGCGCTACAGAAACAGTATCAGAAGCTTCTTCAAAGGCAAAGGCAGGCCCATATTATGCTTCAAGGTAATATTCGACTTTCTCAGTTTTTCAACAGAACTTTTGTCTGAATATGGCATTTTGTATTCATAGTTGCTGCAGAGCAGGGTCAAGGCTCGTTGCAATTTAGATGTACATTGTACTAATATTAGCTTGGTAAGAAAAATACACAGCAAATTCATTAAGATACTAATTTAGTCTGGTTATGGCTTGATTTTTTCAATGGGGCAAATGTGAATTTTATACAAAAACTGTATCTTAAAATTAAAACATTCCTATTGAGTGGGAGCAACAAAATGGAAAAGCAGGCAACCCTTACAGTTCTTTTCTGTGCATCAAAATACCACAAAATGCTATATAGAAGTATAGTTTTTATTATCCCAGAATTATGTGTTTGACAGATTGTTCATTTTTGGTTATCGAAAAGATTGAGTCATTGCATACAGGAGGTATATCCATAGCAAGATACACGAAATATTCAAAGTTGAAATAAGTTTTGCAAAAAAAGTCATGGTCAAGTCAATTGTTATGTATTATGGTGATGTATGAAATGCCAGATATTATTTTGACTGAAAAGGATTCAGTAAATCTCAAGTCTAAATGCAGCTGAGGATTTGCTTTCTGTAAAGAAACTCGGTTACATATCAACAAAATGGAATGTGCTGTGCCTCTGCATTGTCAGCTTTGTCCTCTACCAGTATGAAATTTGGATTCTCGGAAGTCTGTCATGTGGGCGGAAGAGTTGATCAAAATTTTATGAGACATTTTATTAAAAATACTTGTTGCCATGCGGGAGAGCTTTGAATTACATCTGCTGCGCTATGTGCAGGAAGTGAAGCCAGTTTAAGATCAAAGTGATATCTTTATAAAGAGAGAAGTAGGGGATAGATACAACCATGTACATTGAATAGACATTAAGACCCCATTCCCATAGATTTTAGATCGATCTGTCCCTGTGGGGAGGCTCACTAGATTACTGTCAGCTTAGCTGGCTTAAGCGTCTGTCCCGCCTACTAAAAGCTGTAAGGGGGTAATTAACTATGGTGCCCGCTCGGCTGACTGCAATTTAGCGTGAACCCCCAGGGAGTTAGGTCGATCTGAATCTAAATCTCTGGATCAAATTAAATCTCTGGGAATGCACCCTAAGACAAACAATGCGTATGCTTGTAAAAAAAATGAATAGATACATGAATAGGCTCACTGTAAGACAGCCAACAATAAACAGTTTAATGGTTAGAAAAGATTCATGTGCAATCTGTGTCAAAAACTTTTAATGTTACAAGCCCTTTGGGAAGTTGGGGTCTTAAAGTGGGTTAGTGTTGTATAAAATTTAAACTTTTATAGAAACCGAATGCCTTTTTTGGGTGGGTAATTGCTTTGGGTTAGTGCCTCATAGTACAGACTATTTCTTTCTTTCTTATTTCTTGCACAGTGTAGAAATATGCACAGAATTAACTATAATAGTAATGTACATGTCACTGAGTATATTGTGAAAAAATCTCTCTGTGGCCCAGGGAGGGGGTAGGTTTAAAATAACAAATTAAATGTTAAAGTGGATTTCAATGTGGAGAGGTTGGTAGCAAACAGCTAGCTAGGATATTCGTGGTAATACATTATAGAGTACAGTATAGATTTTCTTAATGTCTGTTTGCCCACAGTAAGGTTCTTTGGTCATTCCAGCTGCCAATGCCAGACACCACGAAAGGACAAAGTCCACCCTAGTGCCAAAGATTGAGTCCCCAGTGGCCATCAACCACCTGTTTCTGGGGAAGAATGGGGCCTCCAGCCGTGGCAAGAACCGCCATGTTACCACTGGGCCAAGAATAGCACCACTGCCTATTACTAGCACAGAGGTGCAACAACAGGTGATTTAAAAAAAAGTTTTTAATGAATTTATTTATTTATTTAAAAGCAGTGTATTTTGAAAACATCGGCACTATCTAGCTTTTCAGAAGCTATGTTTCCAGTCAATAGGTTCATGATAGCAAGTTTATGATTAGCCCACCTTTGGTAGCCAATCTAGTCTCGTTTTGTCCCACCCACTGCTACTATGTTGATGTGAGCCAATTGCTTTGAATTTGGCTTCCTTTGGGTTCATTTTTCATTGTGCTGTGTTTATATATGTTCTATGGTGACAATAAACAGAAAATTTATTATAAAGCATAATAAAATGGGTGTTTAAAAAAGAGGAACTGTTCTCATTGGTTTAACTAGTTTGGATGGCCCAACATGAAGCAGTAATTAATGTGCTCTTGATTAGTAATTTTAGATGGAATGGTACTTCCATTTCAGCTTTGTTCATTCAAGTTATGAGAAAAGATTAGTTTTGTTTTTTGAAATCATGATTGAGTAATTCTTATGATGCTCTGCGATTTTCTGAAGGAAACAGACTAGTAACAGAACACATTTTCACTCAGAATTAACTATGAATAATATGTTGACATTCTTTGTTTTAGGTTCAAAAATACCCTCCTGATAGAGGGCATAGAACCAGTACCAGTGGAAATCCCAAAGATCGTTACCTTAAAGAGAGGAGCGCCAGCGTCCGAAGTGATGTGAGTACCACATCCACCCACAGTTCTGCTAGTATAGCTTCAACCAGCAGTTTAACAAGTGCACTGTCGCAAGACAGTATAGAGACAGTCACCAGCAGTGCCACAGTCGAAGCACTCCAGGAAAATGCTGAGTCAGAGTCCAAATCTGACATAGATGGCACTGAGCACCAAGACAGGTCGGAAAAAGCAGATTCTATTCATCAAGACCTCCAAGAAAAAGAGGTTGCTGCTCATCAAGAAATTCTTAATGAAAGGACTGCATTAAATGGTGAATCTTCAGTTCACAATGCAAAAGACTCTGGCTCTGCTGATTTGATAAAATGGGAAGATGAAAGAGATGTAGAGCAAGAAACACTTACAAAGTTAGTTTCCGAAGAGGATACTAAAAAAGACAAATCGGCATCAGATGTTTCTGTGACAGACTTGGTTGAAGTTGAAGCCAAGGATGGAACTGGTAAAACTTTACCTACAGATGTTAAGGCCATCAGTAGCAATACAGAAAAAAATAATGAAATCAGTGACAGCAATCAGTGCAATACTGCAGAGAGCTTAAATGAAGAGAACTCTGAAGCTTTTGCATTACACAGTAAAAACAGTAACACAGATACAGATCTAGCTAATGGAAAACCAACATTATTATCTCTAGCTTTAAAATTTAAAAGACAAAAGGAAGGTGGGGGTGACATTTCACATAGTGAAAACCAGTTTGAAACTCAGAACTCTGATACCCATTGTCAGCCAGGGCCAAGTGGTGATAATCAAAAATCAGTTCAGCATGGTAGCACACAAAATGCAGTCCAGTCCCCAAGCATCAAAGCAGGTGGAACCCCAGATGGGCCTGTCTTGGCACAGTCTGCTCGCCAGGTGGGGTCACCCCCACAGAGTCCCATGAGGAGCCCAACTAGTCCCAGCAAAGTGTTTAACCCATTTCCCAACAGGCATGCCCTGCATGTGAATCAGAGTAGAGCACAGAATGGACTTAAGCTGGGTCTCTACACGGCTGAGAAGTTAAAAGAGATTCAAGATACTTCCGTCAGTGTGCCAACCAAAAAACTCCCCACTTTCACTGGTATTAGAAGGTCCCACATTAACTCTTGCTTGCACAGACAATATATGGCTGGAGTTAGACAGGAGGCAAAGTCAGCAAGGAGGTGAAATATCCCAGCAAAGATGCAAGAGTTTGTCTAAGATATAGTGGTTGAGGAGTCTAGGTAAAAGGGATTAGTAAGATACAAGTTGTACCAAAGGGTTGTTGATGCTGTTGATAGGGGCAAAGATAAAGATTAAGAAAGAGAATGCTTTATTTTCTCTTTTGAGAGATTATTTTGGTGAGTTAGTTGAAGGTTTACGATTAGCATTTTGTAAGAGGCAAATCCTGTTCAGTCAGACACAGAGGATGTGCAAAGAGAAAAAAGTGGTTTTGGACATGGCCCAACTGCAGAAATATCTGCAAGGAGTTAAAGCAAATATCTTAAAATGAGAAGTATATGACAAAACCCAATTCAGACTTAAGACATCAATGCCTTCAAAAATGTGCTCACATGGCACGTGGCAAAACCAAAATTGTTGTGCTTCATATAAAGTTGATAACTGTGACATTGGAAACATTCCAAACCTACAAGTATTCTGCTTTTTATGCAAATACCTGTAACAGTTTCCACGTAAACGTGGCTTTAATGAGCTTTTGATGAGGTAATCAATATGATGAGCTTTAAAATCAGCTACAGTAACCAAAAGGCTTTCAGTATTTGAATTTTTCAATTTTGTTTTCAATCCAGTGAAGGGACATTATTGAATTCTTAAAACAAAATTATGTTGCATTCACATCAGCTAATCTAAAAATTCATTTTGTTCAACAGTTTCTCATCTTCAGTTATTGAATGGTTTTACTTGTAGTTGAAGTCATGAGAAGAATACTATCCCATGTTCACAAATGAAATAAGATAAAACGCCCTCTGAAAACTTGAGCATTAACATGACAGTTTGTTTCTTCAACACTGAGCTACACAGTCTAAACAGTGGCAACATATAGGGCATTAGTTTAAGTGGGTTTATATGATAAGCACAAAGGAAACATTTGGTGTAAGTCCATTATTTGTTATAGTATCAAAAGTAGTTTGTTGCTTATATGCATTTTAGTTATGTAATTGGTTTTTAGTATTTTCCTATTGTTAGTATATTTCTCTTTGTTGTTTTAGAAATCCGTTCATGTAGGTTGTCGCTGCTATGTGTTCACTGGAAGGAAACTATCAAAAGCTGCATTTGTTTACCAACTGACACATTTTTGCCACTTATGAAATCTAGCTTTCCTTTTATTGTGACAGCTGCGTTTGGTCTAGATGCTGTAGAGAACATTTAACACACTTGTACACATTTCTCCTGTCTCAACTGTAGCATTTGGTCTCAACCAGCACTCTTTGTAGTATTATTTTAAAAAATGCATCACTTAAAAATGTCTCCCCTGTATAATTTATGACATTACATTATACAGTTTCAATATTAAGTCTTTCTCTTTGGGTGTAGATTTGGTTATAAGTGATATAAGCACAGGCATTTACAGCTGAGACTTTCAGTTTTGGACAAATTCAACTTGCGCATACACAGCTTTATATTGACTTATTTACATCTATGGTGCTTTCTTCATCAAGCAGTTTACTTTAGTCATACAGTCGGAAACTCTCCATTTTGGAAGATTGACAATTTATTGGTTTGGTTATTACGTAAGAGGGTCACCTATACAGAGCCCCCTCACTTAACTTGGCTCAACTTCCACCCGGAGAACATGTCAAAGAGAGTAAAAGCCCTGTGGTGTATTTAAATGTTACGACCTCTCAAAGTGGGAAGGTACAGACATTGACGCTAAATTCTACTGTATGATGCAAGAAGGGATTTTTATTAATGGCAAAACAGCTGAACATGTGTTAAACAATCTCGTAATTTCTGTGCATTTATAGACTTCAAGTAGGTTGTGATTCATCATTTGAAGACAGTATTATTTGTTGGGCAAATACACGGGGTTGTTTGTCTATGTTATTTTTTATTTGTTAATTTTCTTTTTCATTCAGTTCTTTACTTTCAGTGAACTCCACTGAATATTTGAAGGGGGTTTGATATACAGGCACGGTATGTGGCTGTATATATTCTGATCACTGTGTCTGTCCGTGACGTTTCTGTAGTGTCCGGCACATCCATTAATCACTATGTAACTGCCAAACTGTATTTTTGTTTCACTTTAGATATACTTGCTGGCGTTCTGTGGTAAAAAGGTAATCAATACGATTGGTTTATTTATAAGAAAGTCTTTTTTGCGTGTATTTTGGCAAGGTATGTCCCATGCAGATCTAATCGTAATTTTTTGTGCCTGTATATTTGCCAGCTTTGCTGTCTAGATGTGTTTTAGACCGAGGTCCTTTTGGTTTATTCAGAGGTGGACCGGATATGCAGTATTTTTCTGTTAAAAAGTTTTTGAAATGGATATCTATCTTGATTTCCAAAATATTGGTAATTTATCTGTTCCATGCATTAATGCATGCACTTTGTTTGAATTTAAATTCTCCGTAAAATATCTCCACTTAAAATATTGGTGATTGAAAAAAATCACAGGTCGATACCAAATCATTATCAAATATTGTTAAAAAGACAATCCTGGTATTTTAGTAAAAGGTCAAGTGCACATCTTTATATACATCTTGCTTTCTTGGTTGTGAGATGTTTTAAATTGCACTTTATTATAAAGAAATTATTTTGTTATGCTTATTCAAATATCTGTTATCATGGCCGTATATGTTTATTCTTGTGCTCATTTATTGCTGTGCATTCCACACAGACGTCTATAATAAAGGTGAAGGGGAAAAAGAAATGAGTGATGTTGTTTTATTGTTTCAAAAAGGTCAATATTTTGGTCTAAATTATGAATTAAGCTTTAATAAGCTATGCTACACTAATAGTGGTCTTAATAAAACTCCAGTCGGTTTTCAGGTCATTTGCAAAAAAAAAAAAGATGCATTCTTTATATGCGAATAGACATTAAATTGGTTTTAATAACTGGTCTGCGCTGATTAAATTTTTAGGTCTTTTTTAAGTTTGGATACGTGATTGAACGCAGTACACATGAGAAACAAGCTGGGGCACACTCCACTAAAGGTTTCACCATGAACGGGAAGAGGGTAAAATAAGCAAGGGGAAGTGATTACGTTGGGAACGGGAAAGCTGCAGTAAATTGTGTACTCCGCCAAGCTATTAGAAAGCGGTTTTTTTATTCTAAAGAAAACTGCTCCGACCAGGACTTTGGCTAAATGGAGAAATTATTTGATTTTGTTGCCACTTCGTAAATGAATCATCACTAATATCTGCAAAGGAAAAAGCGTTGAAATGGTTTTGATGAAATAACGCCAAGTGAATACTAAATCGACCACTTTCTTTACTTGTTATTGCGCAATGTGCAATTAAGTTCAATTATTCATTTGGTGTTCACGCGTATTTCCACTCTCACATTTAAATTAACCACAATGCCCTTAATAGCTAAAGGATTTTGTCTACGTAATCGATGATTCGTGAAAAAAATTAGCATTGGTTGAATGGCAAATTAGCATAACCATTAGAGAGTTTGGAACGCCGCTTGAAGCGAGTAATTGAAAGCGTCCAATTATTCAATTTCATTATTCAATAATACATTTCCGTGAATAGAATTACTCAGAAATACTGAGTACAGAATAGTATACAAATGGTTTATTTCGACTTCCAGGCTCAAATGCCTTATTCCACTGCTTCGTCGTTCAATATGACCCAGTAATTAGAATATATTCTTATCGATAAATTTATCTTTTCCAATTAGCTTTTATTCTTTATATTAGGAATTCGGGATAATAAACGATATTCTCCTATACAAAGAAAAGCGGGGAAATACAGGTACCGATGTTCACTAATGTTTATTTCTTTCAAGTTAACTTGGTTACCGATTAACTTGCAAATAATCTTCGTGTATAATATTTTGTCCTATATCACAGTAGACCTGTATCATACGCCTCCTCTTGTTTCTAACGTTCTCGGATAATCGTCAGATTTCTGTATTCTCAGAGGGAGGCGTGTTAATCTGTTAAAGTGATTGCATTCAGCGAGAGTCTGCGCGGAGTTGGATCAATCTACGTAGACCGATAGTTTCAATGGCAATGAGCCCTACATATGTAGGCCTACTAGATGCATTCCTGAATTGCAATTAGGACTTTACGAGGAAGTTCTACAATGTCCGGTTATTCGTCGGGGTTGATTTTATGCACAAATAAATGAAGTGTATGGAAATATCGACCTTTAAACCCCACGTTCTTATAATGGCATTTTCATATTTAAGGGTGCACTATAAAACACCCAAACATGTAACAAATTCTACTTTTGATTTTCATATTGATATGATAATGAACAGAAGTGATGATCTAAGCTAGTTCAGCCATTTCTTCAGGCCTTTTCACATTGAGCATTATATTTGACAGTGATTCAGATGATTACATAAAACGTAATTTGATAACCATAATTTTGACAACCTTTTCATTTCCTCTCCCTCTATCCTTCTCTCTCTCTCTCTCTCTCTCTCTCCAGCTTTTTTTTTTTTTTTTACTTCTTTGGCTCTGTTTTCCGTGTGGCGTAAAGATCAAGAGCGCAACCAACTGGGCAAGCACCTTTGCAAGGCTGGTGGCTCACAGTGGGAATGTGTTCTACATATGTATCTTTGCTGGCTCGATCCATTAGTTATTAACGCCTTGCACAGTATGTGATGAGACATGTTTGTTGATACATTGAAAAAAAAAGCTATTACCTGAACAAAATTTAGCACATTTGAAATACACATGAAGAGCAGGTGGTATGGTTTCCCAAGAAAATCAATAGGATCAATTTTTTCCTCCCTGAGTCTAATAACAGTAACAGTTTAATACATTACACAGATAGACATGTTTATTTATCCGACTAATACATAGGCCTACAATAGAAAACGTTCTTATCCTGACACATTTGTATAAATAACTTAGGCCTCATTCAGAATAGGGGAATAACTAACCCGAGGGTCAAATATGGCGACCCACTACTAAGCTTGCTGTCTAATCCGCTAATAGACACCAAATAGATATCCCGTGGGGAAGTATTCAAGCGGGTCGGCCATATTTGATTCTCGGACTAGTTAGTCCCCTATTCTGAATGGGGCCTTATATCCACATGAAAAGCAGGTGCTAGGACCTAAGAACAAGAGCACCTTTAAAAGTTTTTGAAATTTTTGCTGAAATTCACATTCAAAGCACGCATAATGATGGCATTGGTATGCAATAAATTCTGTGCCCAAGGTGACTAGACTATCCATGAGTATACCCTTAGAACCATTGATGCCATGAGGTACCGAGTTGCTTGAATTTCTGCATACAATACTAGATTGTGTCTTAGACTGGGAACATTTTCAAGTCTATAAGTATATATGTAAACTACGACACGTAAAATAACGGCGGGTCCTAGATTTAAGTGATATTCACACTCCACAAATACCTGGACCTATTAATATGGAATTTACATGAATGATGATTAATCTTAATAGGGTATTTACCCCAATTAAGGCGAGGTAATCAGTATGTTATGTTCTTTACAATGTTAATCCAGTGGGGTTTGACCTTATCAAAGGAGATCCCCCATATAATGCCAGATTATGAACTAATCGGGGACATCATCAGTACACAAAGTATATATCACAAAGATTCCACCCCAAGTGCTTATAAAAACCAACCAATACATGAACACAGCGTAATAACAATGGGTATTTTTCCACAACACAATCAACGTGTGTGAGGACTCAGGCTACAAAAGATGCCTGGGCAAGGCTTGCTTTTTCTTCCCTCTATCCAGTAATTTTAAATTATTTTCTTAAATTTTACATTGAGGATACGTTGGCCCTAATAGGCTAATACATTAAGTAAGGCTTAGAGTTCTCTTTACATTGAGCGGTATACTTAAATGGGCCGATCCACTTTGACGGGTCTTAACATGTAACACTCGTTTACAAGTTCTCAATAGTTCGTTTCCTGTTGTGTAGGCGCAGTTGGGTAGCGCTGAGCGCGAGGGCTCAGCTGAGGTAGTGGTAACTCCCTCGAGTGAAAGCCATTTTTTAAATTTGTCAATCTGTTGTCTGTATTTAATCTGTAACTCTGGCATCTTATCCCTTTTGATGGTATTATACTTGTTACATATAACAGTCTGTGCTACAAACATTTTGGGCTACTAGTACTAGTACTAGTCTTTCGGGCAATCAGGGTCCAAAAGTGGGCTATCTTAAATTTAAATTGCCCAGGGCTAGTGCCAAATCTATTTTAATTGGAAGCAAGCCCAAAGAGTACCAGTCCCAAATAATACTCAAAAATTTATGAACCTCCATTTGTTCATCCAAAATGATATCCAACTAAACTCAACATGATTTTACACTCCCTTCCCACAA